AACTGTGCCTGGGTGGTGCGTTGTCTTGAGTCAGGGCTGCCTGCTGACATGCCTACGTCTCCCTGCAACAGTCACTATCTCTGCCCACTTCTAAGTGGGCACAGGGCAACCTTCAAGAAATAAATGGCTATTGGACACCCTCCACGACTCAGGGTCATGCTCTCCTCACTCCTAAGTCCCACAGCTCTGGGGCTTAGAGGCTGAGAGAGAGGACAAGGGACCTACTGCATGCAAACTTTCTGGGCCCTTGGCAGGGACCAAGGGCTGAGGAATAGGACTGGGGTGTGTTCTCTGCCTTTGATAAAGAAGGTCTCTTGATATTTGGAACTTTATAACTTAAGAGGAAAAGTTAAAAAAATTTCTAAAAGGTATAAAACATATTAATAAGGTAGGGTCAAAACTTCATTCAATTCAAGAGGAAACTCTTCAGTAAAGCCACTGCTAAGGTTCACATAAGCAATTTTTAATTGCCACATTAGAGGTTTCAAGGTACTTTCACAGATTATCAACCGCACTGAATGAATGATCAGATGAACCAATGAATGAGTGATCTTCCCATAAACTTGTGAGGTCAAAAAGCATTACCACCCCCATTATACAGATGCAGAATTTCAGACACAGAGAGGGCCAATTAACTTGAACAAAAACAGCTATTGCTAGACTGAACTCTGATTTCAAATTGCGTGTCATCTTCTGTATCACATGGCCTTCACTTGTTCAAAGCCAGAGACAGAGATCTTTTCAAGCACCATTCTAGGGGGTGGGGTTGCAAAGAAAGACAGGACACCACCATGGAAGGGGAGGGCTGCATTTTCTCCTTTCAGTTGGATAATCTGGAGTTCAGCCTCTCTGTCTAGTGCCAGGGAGCAACTCTGTTCCAGGGATCAGGGTGGCTTCGTGGAACAGGTGGCCTTGGAGTTGAGCACTGATAGCCTGAAGCATTTTGGAGCCAAGAGATGGCTTGCAGGCCCCTCTGAGTATGATTGAAAGCCAATCACAACTTTTTCCAGCTTATCTCTAGGCTGCCTCTTTTATAGAACTCTATTTTGTTCATCTGTTCACCTGTTTCTTGTCTTGGTCCTATCTCAGAGTCTGGCAGATAAACAAGTGTTCAAACCCCAGAGTGACTTGGACACAGCTAGACAAGTGAGTACAGTACCTAACAAAAGTCAGACCTGACTGTCCCTAGCTTGAAACTTGCTTGTGGGACAGGACACTCAAGCTACAGAAGAGGACCTGAGATGCCCTGTGCATTCCTGTCCTCAGAACACTCACAGCTCTCCCATGCCAAGGGAGCCTCCTCTGGGAGGGAGCTCAAATCCCCATAGGCTTCCAGTAGCAAAGGAAGGGAAGTAAGAGTGGACAGCAGGGGACTTAACATCTACCAGAAGGTACACTGTATTACAAAATTAATCCAGCCCGTTCTTCTATCCACTTCTCATATCCTCACAAGGAGGCAGCATGTATGTAGAGTTCCTCCCTAACCATGTTCTCCAAAGTGGCACACTGCCATTAATTTTTCAGACCTAGGTCAATGAAGTTATTATCCAAGCCACAGTGAAGAGAGATTAAAGGAAGCAGTGTGAAGGCAAGGCCATAAGGCCCAGGGAGAAGGCATGGTAGGCCACGTTGACTCACTCATTCCCTCAATGAGCAAGGTGAGCCTCCAGCCCAGCTTGGTCCCAGGTGTTAGGACCCAGCCCTGCCTCTGCTGGTATTATGATTATCACTTGCATCTTAAGGATAAAGACCTTGAAGGTCTAAACACTGAGCTTCCCCAGAGCTCCTGGTCTTGACCTCACTGTGCGTCTAGAGGGAGAGTCAGGGAACTCATCCCACCAAGGCTGACTGGGATCTGAGCCAGATGGGAGTACAAGCCAGAAGCATCTATATAGAGAAATGTACCTTTTTCGAGAGGCCCTGCTCAGATACCATTCTAACAGGGCCTGGAAATTCTGGATTCAGAGGCTCTGAGCTGCCTCCACAGGAACCATCTCTGCGACTCACTCCCCAGTGCTCCAGCTGCACTGACCAGCCTAGAGGCTCAAGCCTTAGCAGCAGACCACCTGGTGGCCCAGAATATTCACTTCTGCCTGGTCAGGGAGACAGACGGAGGGACAGGAGTCCAGCATTCTGCCTGATCCAGCTTCTCTTCACTTCCAACCAGATATCTACAAGCCACAGGTCATCACCATATAGGGCTCCTATACCCACTGAAGAGAGAGATCTGCTCACTCCCAAAGAAGGTTGCAGAAATGGTCCTCCTGCTGAGGCCTGGAGGATGCAGCTGCAGGTGAAGGCCAGAGGACTTCTGGCGGGGAAGATGAGCTGCCCACTCAGCTCACCAGCCCAGCTGCCCACCGAGAATCCTCCAGCCACTGTGCCCAGGAGAGTTCCCTCTCCTCATGGACACCTGGGCTCCAGCAGCCCACCTGCAAGAGGCATCTTCTCCGAGGAGAGTCTGAGGGCCAAGTTAAGTGTTTGTGGGAACATGCTAATAAACCTCCTTCTCCCATAGCTGAGGACACCTCCCTTAGGACCCCTCCCAGCACCTGCAGCATCAAGTAGGGGGTCCTGCAGACAGAGCAGGGCAAGGCAGCTTTCTGCCTCCTCTAAGTTTTCCACTCCTGCTAGTGCTCACTTCCTACACCTTGCTGTGAGACAACCCAGGCAATTCAAAGGAAAAGAAAGGACCCCACTCCTGATCCTAACCAGGGCATCCCAAAATAGGTTAACGCAGGTGCCGCCACAACCTGAAGCAACAAGAGGGATGATGGCATCTCATGTTAGAAAGTATAGTGGAGTCTGTCCGTCTTGGGAGCAGCCAGGGAAAGGGTGAGGGTGGGCAGTAGCTGCATCTGAGCACAGAGCTGTGGGGCTGGAACCTCTGTATCCCCCTTCGTACTACTCAGCAGGAGGGGCAGAGATGCTCCTTCCCAAGCCACCCCTGCAAGGGTGAGCTAAAACCTGGCTTGCACCGATGCTCAAGAAAACGACACAGCCAGGGACGCTTCTCAGTATGAAAGAAACACGCAATTAGAAGATTCCAGTCTTGAGTGTCCGTCCACACCTGGCAAGATGCGAAACTCTACTCGGGGTAATTTTCTGGACAAAATACATCCCTTTCGCTTTTGCTTCTGCCTCTGCCTCTGTTCAAGTTCACCAAGAGCCTGGAGGAAACCCTCCGCTGACCGGAAGCCTAGCTTGGTAGCGGAACGAGAGGGAGCTGCTTCTGGGTAAACGTCTCCGCCTCGGAGGGAGGCTGTGCGCACCCCAAATCCTGCCCCTCGCCCCCTCTCAGGGCCCCGACCGCGGCATCCTCTCAAGAGACGGACGGTCTCTCAGCACTCCCGGAGGAGGACGCGGCTTCCGCAACTGCCTTGCGCACCCCCGCCCCATCCCGCCAGTGCCGAGGCGCTCACCGCACCCGCACACGCTCACACTCCCGGTCCCCGGCGGAGTGGCCGCAGCCCCCCTCACTAGGCGCCCTCCGCTAGCCCGCCCGAAGCCTGAGCAGGTGCAGCCCCGCCGCACGCCCAGAAGCGTCTACACAAACTTGTTCGCCCGCGGCGGGGGGAAACCTTGCTCGCAGTCCGCGCGGGGGTCCCGGCTGGGACACCCGGGAGACACCACTCACCCCGTGATCGCCGCTGGCTGGGTTGCCCGCGCCACCGGCCACACGTGCGCCTCCCCGGGACGCCGAGCCCGCAGCCCCGCAGTGCCCCGAGCCCCGGCGCCCCAGGCGCCCGCACTCCCCCGGCCACCCGCGGCGAGCGGACAGACGCTCCCGGGAACAGGGCGCCGCCGCCGGGCTTATCGGGCTGAGGACGAGCGTGCTGAGCCGCGGCGGCGGAACGCGCGGGTGCGGAGCTGGCGGCGGGCGGCGGGCGGCGGGCGTGGGGTGGCTGGCGGCGGGGAGCGGGCGGCGAGCGGTCGAGCGGGCAACCGGCTCTGCACATGCTCACTCGCTCGGCCCGGGTACAACGGCCGGCCGCCGCCGGGTCCTAAAGGCGCCTGCGCGCGCCGCCGGCCGCCCAGGGGAGGGGTCGCGGCTTCGCGGGCGGGGGCCCACACCCTGCCCCGGCCCGGGAGACACGCGAGCCGGGCAGGCCACGCGCCACTGTCACGCAAAGACTCTGCCACCCATTCTGGTATGCACACACACAGCCACTGGGAGCCTCGCTGTCTGTCGTACACCTCTTACGCGCACCATGGCGCACCGCCCCCCCCCGCCGACACGGACACACTGGGCACTGCCACACCGAAGAGCCCGCTGCCACGCTCACTCCGATGCAGACACAGAGTGACAGACACACATTGCCTGATACAGATACACACTGAATTTCACAGACACACTAACATACGCACTGGGCTCTGCCCCACTCACCCAGTAACAAACTGGGCTATTGTGACAGGTGCACACACACACACAGCCACTCTGTAGCACTCGGATACAAATACACAGACACACACGGGATCACTGTCCCACGTAGATCTGGATACTGACGATCACACCTTGAGGCAGGAACACACTTGGAAGCAAGCACGTGCTGGAACACGCACATTCACACTATCTGAGACAGTCCTACTCAGACAAATGCACTGACAGCATCGCCCATGCTTGCAGACTCAGGGCTGTGCTACCAGCTTTGGGCACATCTCCACACCGGCTCACAGTGACAGCCCCACGCCTTGATATAGTCGCGCATAGAAGGCATGCCCCACACCAGAGTCCACTAGCAGATACATTCTATGGAGAAGTATACTTTGCACTGACCCACACACTCTCTCTCTCTCTCTCTCTCTCACACACACACACACTGAGGTGGACATTCGCTGAGCAGTCACAGTTCTATACACAACCCCCTTGTTTAAATAAAGGCTGATTCCAAACCTACGGATTTCCCCCTCTGAGGAGCCCTACCCCTGCTCCTCAGAAGCTCCCAAGTCACAGCATATGCCCTGGCCTGCCAGGTGCGTCAGTGGGGCCCTGTTCTCACCGAGAGCTGGCTGCTAAGATGCTCCTGGAGGCCGAGGACAGCAGAGGCGGCAGGAGCAGGTGGCAGTGTCTCTAACCCGGTCTTCCTGAAAGGCAGTTTATGCCTCCAACTCCCACTAGGGGCAGAGCTGGTTGGTCAGGCTCGGAGGAGCTGCCTTTCAACAGGTGAGAGTGGCAGGAAAAGAATTTGCATGGGGATCAAGCTGGTCTGGGCTTTAGGTAGGTCCCTTAAGTGGGGCCCAGAGTCCCCGGGGGAGGGACTTGCTGAAGTTTGCACAGCCTGTCAGAGCACATGCAGAATTAGAATAGCGTCCAGACACAAGAATGACGGTTTAGCACACTGGAGCCCTGGAGGGGCCGGGAGAGTAAGAGGCAGACTCCATGCTGCCCCAGCCTTCCAGCCTTCCAGAAAAGCCCCCTCCATGTACATATCCTTTCCAGAATGTGAATATTTGTATTATTTTCAACAGTAGTAGTCTACTGTGTAGTTTTATAATGCTTTTTGGTTTTCAAAGCCTTCTCTAGGACTGGCTACATAATTCCAAGGGTCCCAAATAAAATTGTGGGCCCCTTGTTCAAAACTTATCAAGAATTTCAAGAGATGAGGGAAGGACATTAGACTAAGTGTACGGCCCTTCTGAGCATAGAATCCTGTTCTCATGTTCATGAAGCCAGCCTTGGCCGTCTTATACGGATTGTTGAAACTCATGGCCAGTCTGTGGGTGCCTTCATGTGCCTGTCTGACAGACAATACCCAAAGGAGGACAATCTCCAAGGCTCACAGTCAGCATATCCCAGGGGAAGTCCAGCTCAGCTCCTCCAGGGGGCAGGCACTGCCCTGCAGTTGCCACTCAGGAGCACTGGCCACCTAGAGCAGCAGCCCCTTGGGACAGAGAACTCAAGCTGAGGAGTTGAGGTGGCTGCCACCAGGGAAGGAGAGGTGCCCCAAGGAAAGAGAAGAAAAGACTGCTGGGTATCTGTGCCATCTACATCCATCCAATGCCACGGTGCACCTGCTCTGCAACCCCCCACCCCCCCAGGGGAGCACCACATGGCCTCTGTGTGGGAAGACACCTGCTGAGTCTAGGGAGAGAGGTTGAGAAAGAAGGTGCATGAAGGACCCCAGGAAATATTTAAGAAGGACTTGAGAAATACATCTTGGATGTCAAAATTGTCAGGAGTATTTCAGCATGGGGTAAAGCCCTCCTCTCTAGCAGTGATGACACATAAGAGGATATGAGGCAGCTCCCCAGACGGGGCCTAATGCACCAACAGTGCAGCTCCCTGCCCCACAGCTCTTCTCTCCACATGGCCAGGACCATTCACTAGTTATTTGTACAACATCCCTGTGCATATCCCAAAAGCAATTGTTCCCACAATGGTGCTGGCATATGCCCAGTTACTGCTGAGTAATGTACTTCCCCCTGCCTCTCTAGCAGGTCTGGGACTAAGAATCAGACCAGTCTGATCTCACTTTAATCCCATCTCTGTGTGTTTGGCTCTTGACTCCATCTGCTCCTCTCTTTGCAGACCTCAATTATTGGATCCAAAGTATTTACATTACCTCCTAACTTCATGCCATCTGCTGGCTTATCCTTTCCTTTCCCTCCCTCTTTCCCTCCCTCCTTCCCTTCCTGCCATCCTTTCATTTATTCACTGAGCAAGGCACCCATTGTGTGTTAGATTTTGTGTTGAACACTGCAGACTCTTTGATAAAAAAAATCAGTCCTCTCAAGGGGCTTCCAGTGTGAAGAACTGGGCAAGAAAACAGACCCAGAGTGAAAACTTACTACACAGGAACAACTTTGCTATATCAATCAGGATGCTTGCAGCCTCAAGTAAGACGCACCAGAGTAAAAGGGGTGTCAACAAAAGGGCTTATGATCCCAGACAGCAATTAGCCTGGGGATGGGCAGATCCAAGATTAGATAATTCAGTAACTCTAAGATGTCAGGGTCTGAGGTGACCTCTCTGCCACTCCCTGATCTTCCCATTCCTGACTGAAAGATGGCTATTGCAGCAATTCAGCTATTTCTGAATTCCCCCAAATGACAATGCCCAGTGAGTTTCCCTTTTAACTGGGGAAGAAAAACTTTCCCAGATCCTCTTCCTTCCAGGTCCCTTTGGCTAGAACTGGACTCCATACATATCACTAAGCCAATACCTGGCTAAGGGGAATGAGTTTGGCTAATTATGATTCATTCTCTGGGGAAAGGCTAGTCTTCTCTGAGTACATTACTGCTTAATCAAAATTGTTCTTCTGATAGCAAAGACCAAGCAGCACGATGGCTGTTGGGAAGGCAACTAGCTGTGTGTGCCATATAGATACGTGGTGCATTGAAAACCAAATGGCTCACAGCACCACTTTGGAGGAATTCAGGGATGTCTTCATGCAGAAGATGGCAGGTAAACTGGCTCCTGGGGGAGAAGTAGACATCATCTCAGTCACTAAGTGCAGGCAGGAGCCATTCCAGACAAGGATGGAGGAGGCATCCTTTGTAAAGGCAAGGAAATATGAAATACACAGTGTGTTGCCAAGATTACCACTAACTTAGTACAGCTGGTACAGTGTCAGGAGTGGTTAGAGAAAGGCCGGAAGGAGACCGGCCACTGATCCCTCATTCACATCATTGACACCAGGGGACAAGGCAGGGCGAGGGACTAAGCCTGAGCCAAGACCATAAGGACCTCCCTTCACAGAGTGATCCCCTGGTCATCTTTACCCTTTGGGAAAAGTCTCCACAAGTTACAAATGGTCAAATCCCACATGGTTGTATTGACAAAAGCAGCCCAAATAGTCAGGAAAGGGATGACAAACCCAGGCGGGACTTGAAGGAACAGGAGTGCAAACTCCGTATCTCTCTCTTACCTTGAGCAAAGTCACACTCTCTCTCTGAGCCTCAACATCTCCATCTGCAAATTAGAGAAAATGCACCCATTATTGTAAGCATTGAATGAAACACCTGTCAAGTGCATAAATGAGGGATTGCCACATAGTAAGTGCTTAACACATTCTAGTAAACGTTACATGAAGGGCTTTTCCCCAGGGCTTTGCTAAAATCTGGAAATGCCACACGTGCAATGTTGGTCTGACCCACCGGGCTTGTGGTGCTTTCTCTTCCCCCAAATGCCACCTCCCCAGAGAGTCTGCCCTGACATCCCAGCCAACACACGTCTGCCTTGATGTCCAGTTCCCAGTTTTAAAACTCATTGGCCCATCTGCTCCTTGTGTATCTACCAGTTTTTTTTTCTGCCTTCTCCTCTCCAAACCTCACAGCCCTCAGAATAATTTAAGCCCTGACATAGCCAGGGAACTTTCTGTCTCATTCGGAACTATGTCCTTAGTGCCAAGCTTAATTCTGGGCACATAGACATGCTCACTAAATATTTATTAAATAAATAATTGGTTTTGTAAAATGCAATGTGTCTAGCATGACATATTTTTTATGAACCCAAGCAGGTTCCCAATGGTTGTCCATGTTTCTTCCCAAGAATTTAAGAGACTGCTCCCTCTTGCTCTGCTCACAGACTGTTCTTGCTGTATCTAGTTTGTGGGATTCTGGCCCACTGGGGAGCCCCAGAAGGACAGTGTGGATGGCTAATTTCACTGCATCCCCCTATCAGGGGCCTGGGGTGGGATGAGGAATCAGGTACCCCATCAACACCCATCTGAGCATTCTCTTCCTTTACCCATGCAGTGCTTGGCTGCCACTCCCCCCAAACCCTGGCCCACAGAGTGACACAGGAGCGACCGTCCCAGAGCAGCCAGTGAAGGTTGCCTTTCCCTCCTCTGGAGCATTGCATCATCTGAGGAAGCATCACTCAGAGACTGAGAAAACCTTTGGCAACATCCCAAAAGGAGAGAGGCAGGGTTTTTTTGGGTTTTTTTTCTCTCTCTTTTTCTTTGCATTTTATTTTTTGCATAGTGCTATGAACTATTTCCTGGCCACTCTGTGCAGTCAGACCTGACGCTGGGTTCAGTACTTTGCTGTGCTGTGTATTTGCTTGCTTTCTCCTGTGAGTGCTGCAGCGACTTAAATATGCCTCTGTAAAGATGCCAGTGACACAGATGGTAATTGTACCCCCTGCTGAGCTGTGCCTGCAGACGTGGGGGCTAGGAGGTGGAAGGCAGGGAATCTGTACCTGTCTGGGAAGAGAGAAGCCTCCCCAGGCACTGGTCTGGTCTGGGAGAAGCTGGACTTCCTAGGCATTGGCATAGGTGCCCAGAAAGTTTCAGAATTTCAGAGGTGGCAGAGAGAGCACAGTAAGAAAGCCTGAGTTCTTTTTCTGGCCAGACCTAAAACTCACCTCTCTGAGTTTGCCCCTCTGTAAAATGGGCAAGTTTTCTAGTTGCTATGGAAGGCCTTTCTTTAAGGCAGTCAGGGGATTCAAGTGTGCTTTGAGACCAGTTCTGCTTTTTGGAGTGGGAAAATTACATGATTTCCCCCAAGATGTAGTTTTTCATCAGCAAAGTGGGGTTAGTGTTTCATTTCTGGTGCATAGTTCTTGGCACAGCTCTAGCCAGCTCTGGTGTGGGGTCCGACATGGCAGGTGCTATTATAAAAGTTGTTGGATTTGGGTTATAATTGCCTGAGCCCATCCAACTCTCTTTACAGAAGCAGCAACTGGGATAGAGTAAAGGCCCACCGGGTATAGAAATCTGTGGGACCAGATGCAAGAGCCTGTGGGATCTGATGTCTAAGGGTGCTGGGGTGGCAAGGAAGTCCTGGCACAAGGAGATGGCCAAAGTGGCCCTTGATTTCCTCCTCCTGCCTAGCTGGTGTGAACCACTGGGCAGATACATGTACTTAGCAGAGGAAACATCCCATCTTTGTCCTGTTTTTATGAATTTCTCTGTAAGTCACTCATCAAAGGCCTTAAACTTGCAAGTAGTCTTCTACATTAAGCTACTGGAACACCTCACACTTACAACAGCATTGATAAGAGATGGGTCCACTTTAGCAAGCTTCTTATTGTGGAATAATCTTACATTTATAGACATGTTGGAAACAGCAGAGTTCTCATGTATCCCTCACTATTTTTCCCCATTGTTAGCATCTCAGATTATTATGGTCCTTTCATCAAAATGAAG